AAAAAAAAAAAAAAAAGGTACTAAATACACCAATAACAACCCAGGAAATTGGCTCTGTCATAAGAAAACTACCTACAAAAAAAAAAGGCCTGGATCGGATGGCTTTCCAGCAGAATACTACAAAACGTACAAGGAGAAGCTGATCCTATTGAAAGTATTCCAGGCAATTGAGAAAGATGGAATTCTCCCCAAATCATTTTACAAAGCTAACTGATATTCAAACGGGGTAAAGATTCAACAAAGAAAGAAAACTACAGGCCAATATCCCTAATGAACATAGATGCAAAAGTTCTCAACAAGATTTTAGCAAATTGAATCCAACAACACATCTCAAAAATCATTCACCATGACCAAGTCAGCTTCACCCCCAGGTTGCAGGACTGGTTCAACATTCTCAAGACCATAAATGTAATTAAATATATCAACAGATGTAAAGACAAGAACCATGTGATTATATCATTAGATGCAAAAAAGCTTTTGATAAAATCCAGCACCCTTCTTGATAAAAACCCTCAAACAACTAGGCATAGAAGGAACATACCTCAAAATAGTAAGCATCTTCTACAATAAACCCACAGTCAGCATATTGCTAAACAGACAGAAACTAGAAACATTTCCCCTGAAACCCAGAAAAAGACAAGGCTGCCCACTCTCACCTCTCTTGTTCAACATTGTGTTTGGAAGTCCTAGCTAGAGCAATTAGATAAGAGAAGGAAATCAGGAGTATCCAAATAGGAAAAAAGGAAGTTAAGTTATCCCTCTTTGTTGATGATATGATCCTATACCTCGAAAATCCAAAAAAATCTGTCAAAAACCTGCTTTCACTGATAAAGGACTTTGGCAAAGTCTTGGAGTACAAAATAAATGTGCAAAAGTCAGTTGCATTCTTATACACCAACAACAAGCAGGCAGAGAACCAAATAAAAAGCACAATCCCATTCACAATAGCCATAAAAAAGATGAAATACCTCAACATCTTCCTAACCAGAAAAATGAAAGACCTTTACAATAAAACACTGCTCAAAGAAATCCAAGAAGACAAAAACAAATGCTCATAGATAGGAAGAATCAACATTGTTAAGATGTCCATGGCAATCTACAGATTCAATGCGATATCCATTAAATTACCCACATCATTCTTCTCAAACCTGGAAATGACAATACAGAAATTCATATGAAAATATAAACAACCACGAATAGCCTAATCAATCCTTAGCAAAAGAAACAAAGTGGGAGGTATCACACTTCTAGACTTTAAACTTTATTATAAGGCTACAGTAACCAAAACAGCCTGGTTTTGGTACAAGAACAGGCATACAGATCAATGGAACAGGATACCTCAATTTCTCAACCAACTCATCTTTGACAAAGCCTCCAACAACAACCACTGGGAAGAGGAGAACCTACTCAATAAATGGTGCTGGGAATATTGGCTGGCCACATGCAAAAAGTTGAAACAGGACCCCTACCTATCACC